CTTCCCTATTGCTCACAAGGTTGCAGAAGCTCCTAGTCTCACAAAGCTCACAGGGTGGTGGAAGTAGATTGAGCAAAATAAGGAAACAAATAAGGAAGATAATTCCAAATAGCTATCAATGCCACAAAAAAAATTTGAAAATGAATGACATCAAAGCTACATTGTCCCATATGGCTGCTCCTGCGGCTTTTGAGCATTTGGAAAGTGGCCAGTCTAAATCGACATGGAATGTACCTGGGCAAAACACACCAGATTCAAAGGCTCGGTGTACAACAGAATAGAGAGCACTTCACTGATACTTTTTAAATGATTACTTACTGAAGTAATAACATTTTGGATATATCTGGTTAAATAAAGTGTTAATTAATTTCCAGCTGTTTCTTTTACTTTTTAAAATGTGGCTACTGCAGCCTTTTTAATTACCTGTGTAATTCACGTTAGATTTCTGCGGGACAGTGCTGCTCTGGAAGGATGTTAGGAGCGAACATTTTGTTCCTCCTGCTTAGGACCATGTGTTCCCCCAGGCTTCTTCCCGTATATCCCACCCCTCCTTCAGACTTGACGCTCTAGGACTAATTAATGCATTTGGGTCTCTTCCGCAATTAGAAAGCTTTGTGGGCACAGCGACAGTAGGGGGTGGGAAGATTGGCTGGAAGTTCAGTGTGTTTAGAGGTTAGGACATGGAAAGAGATTGGTGTTCAAGGCCAGGAGGATGTGAAATTGTCTAGATTACAATGGGCAGAAGTGATGTGGTCTTATGCAGGAGAATGAACCCCAGAGGCATTGTCATAGAGTAGTGAGACCGCAGTGGCCAGAGGAGGAAGCGTGACTCTGACAGGGTACAGGGGACAATGGCAGGTTCCTCCTGCAGCTGCTGTGCATCTTGGCTTGGAAAGTAGGTGCCAGTCAGAGATTCATCTTCGGAGTTCTATTGTGTTCAGGCTGTATCTTAGAATCTACCTACTACACACCTGTTATTAATGTTGCCTTGTCCAGAAAAAATAGCAGTTGTTAGCATATACTCTGTATCATCTGTTTATTCTGAATGTTTGAAGTGTTCTGAAATAAAAGTAGTATCTATATAGATAGGCAATATTAAGTATAGATGATGATAGATGATCGATAGATGATACATAGATACATAGACACATAGATAGATAGATAGGTAGATAAATAGACAGATAGATAGATAGACAGACTTTGTAGAACATTCTTAAGGTCTCTCAGAATAATTCTCCCCCATGAGAAATGAGCGCCCATATTATCATAAGCTCTCCCACTTGATGCATTAGGTCCTCATTGATTTTTCATGCACACTTTTCCTGGAGCCGCTTGCAAATGTAGAAATAATACAATAGTCCTTAAAATATGTAAAATTATGTTCAGGTGCCATGCTCCCGCTCTGACTCCAACACTGGTGCACTTGAATCAATTATCTGTTATTCTTTTATGTTCATCTTTCCAACTGGGAAACATGTGTATCCCAATCACTGATGGGCTGACCCATTTTCTGATCAAATTTGTCTTACTTATGGCACCATTAAGGACGAAAAAAATTAACATCAGACCTCCTTGCCATCTCCCACTCTCATATCACAGGATATTTGCCCTGTGTATCAGGGAAGACACACTCTAGATGCACAGACTCCTTAATGCAGGTAGGAATTTCCCAAATGGTATGATTGCCTGGCTTCAGTATCAATGTGAAAACTTTCACTCCCAGTGTCAGACACAGTAAGAGTTCAGAAGCTGCAGCATTGCGGTATGAATATTATGGGGTATCCCCTACCTGCTTCACTAATAATCTGTAGCTTACCTTCTTCTAGCCAAGAAAAACTTCCATAGGCAATGACTAGAAATTTTCTGTTATTCCCACCCTGTACCTTTGTAGACACCTTAACCTCCAACTGGAAAACTGTATCTGCCCAGAGTGCATCTGAAAACGATATTCAGTGTGCCCTGCTTTGCTTCCTGCTTTGCTTCCTGCTATGTGTATGTGTGTGTGTGTGTGTGTGTGTGTGTGTGTGTGTGTGTGTGTTTGTGTATTCCCCTTTAACAGGAGAGCTGACCTCAACTGTGTGTCCATAAAATATTTGTTTTCTAATATCATGGCATGCTGCCAGATGTCTGCCCTGACCGAGGGAAAGATTATAAAGGTTCAAACCCTGGATCAAAATGCTCCAGCCAGGACAGCATTATAAGTTTCCTCACTTCTCTGTGTTCCAACAGCTGAAATGGGTCACTATGGATATTAAACTAACTAATAGTTTAACACTGAAAAACACAACAGGATCTGTCACATATTATTTATTAAATTTTAAAGAATATGCATGCTTGTAGCCACCCCTACCTTAGGAGCCCTTAAATGTGGAGACAACCCTTACATACTTCTCTCCCCTGCTTACCTAACTTTGGGTCAGAACATACTAGGTGCTCAGTAAAAGTAGTCAAGAGAATAATTCTTTAAAAACAAAACAATTATTGCTTTGTCATTTTCTATAATAACTATTATATGCCCCAAATTAAGAGGACAAATTACTACTTAAAACACACACACACATTGCACACACATGCACACACATGCACACACATGCACACATTTCAGCATTGGCACTCACCTTCCTTTGAGCTGTACTTGGAACCCTGAGACCACACATGGATGCATGTAAAGAGCTTGCTGGACCATGTGAGTTACACTGGGAGAACTGAGACACTTCAACTGACCATTAGCCTGCCCCAGTCAACACCCTGCCAACCAGCAAGTGTGTGAAAGGGGCTCTCCAGGACCATCAAGTCACAAGCAAGCTCTAGGCTTGCTAGAGACCTATGAGAAGCATTAGCAAGCCATCCAAGACAGAATGTCATCTAGTTCACCCACAAAATTGTGAATTATATGAAATGGACATTGCTCAAAGCCACTAAATTCTAGGTTGATTTGTTACACAGCTAAAGCTAACAGATACAGACATGAGCCCTTCCTTTTCACTCAACCCTATAGAACTGGAATAAAGTCTAGAATATAGGAAAAGCTTAATAAATATTTGTACCTAAAACAGCATGACCTACTCACATGACTTCTTGGTATAAGACTGCCTCAACTTCCTCATCTAGTAATAACACCTCTTATAGCATTATTTTGTGAATTAACTGAGTTACCTAAAACAATGCCTGACACGAAGCTACCACATAGTAAGTACTCAGTAAGTATCTATTTTGAGTATTACATGATGCTTACATTTTTATTACAGGGGAAATTTTTCTGACATCCGTGATATGAATAAAGACAAATTACATGCAACACTATTTATTTACTATCTATTATATATATCAGGCTCTGTCTTACACATTTTTATGTCCTAAATATTTTTCTTGGATGTTTTTATCTACTTATCACACCAGAATACTCTTTTGAGATATTATTTCTCCCTTTTTTTCAATTTCTAACTAATGGGGAAATTTATACACATTGTAGTTGTTGTTAAGGATGAGAAATCTTCCTTGTATGTGTCACCTGCACTTACTTTCATGTAGCCCACAGAAAGATAATGAATAAATACCTATGGATTTGAAATGTTCACTTCAGATTTTCCAGCAGATAAGAAATTCTAGTGAGTATTTTAAAATATTCTTTCAGTAGCACATTTTAGTTCCAGTGGTGTTATAAATGTATCATCAATGAACATTTAGTTCTTTTCTTGTAAAAATAAAATAAATTTTCCAAGCTATAAGGTATGTGAAATGAAGAGGAAATGAGTTAGGCTTAGCCATCAAACTACCAAATGGTCCAAATTTCTTCCTCGAATTGGCAGAGGATCTCATATTCTAGTTGTGACTGTGTGAGTATATTTGTTTTATTATTTGGAACCCACAATTCTAGGAATAAATTGTTGTTTCTTTTTGTCCAGCATGTGCTCATCCTGGACCAGATGTTTCCAGGAGGCCAGCTGGGGGTTTGGAACCTTGTTTTTTATGTAATCCATCATGTAAAGCTGAGATCCTAGTAACAATAAGGATACAGTAGGTATTGCTTGCTTAACAATAAGGATACAGTAGGTATTGCTTGCTCTATGCAAATACATGCAAATTAGTGCAAACTTCCAGTGGCCCAAGGGCATGATCTCCAAGCACTCACATCATGGCAAACAGATCTGTGACTGAATATTGGAAATGTGACTGCCCTGCACAGAATTGGCCCTACGACTTTGGGGAAATTATCCTTTCAAAACTGTGCATTCCCAAACACAGTATAAGGCACCACCACATTTGATGTTATCTAAACTTCCTACCGAATCTCCAAAGAAGTCACAGTTTTTTGTTTGTAAATGGTGACAGCTGAGAACCAGATAATTTAAACAACTTGACCAACATCACACGAATGAACAACGCACAAAGCTACTCCGGTTTTGTGGCATGTGAACTTCTCCAAGCCAACTTGCCCTTCATTTTTATATATATCCATAGTACCCAGAGGAGCATTTTGGCCATAATAGAAATTCATTAACAAATTTATTCAATAAGTACTTATTGCCAGGTATGGTGTCACATGACTGTTACTCCAGCACTTGGGAGGCTGAGGCAGGAGGATCGCTCTGAATTTGAGGTCAGCCTGGGCTACATAGTGAGTTCAAGGCCAGTCTGAACTACATAGAGAGACCCTATCTCAAAAAAAAACTTTATTGACCATTTACCACATGCCAGGTAAATCACAATGCATGAGAACATCAAACATGCAAATATACACTGCCTGGGGACTCATGTTATGGTGTATTTTTGTAATGTTGAAAAAGAAAGCTTTAATGCTAGAGAACGCTTGAATACATTGTGAAATATTTCCACGCAGAATGACCAAATCCATTTTTGAAGCGGATCTCGTACTAGAGAACAGAGGTCTGCTCTCTTGGCCAGCTGCTTCTCATGTGTGAAATTTCACCAGGCGACAGCCGTGCTTTGCACTCCTATGGCCAAATGGGGTATTTAGGACACAGGTCAAATAGTGCAACATCATGAAGTATTTATTAACTGACCCTGTATAGGAGAAGTTTTTCTACCCCAATACAGGGAAATGTTCATAAAATGACAGGTGAAAAGGGCAGAACACACAGAGCTGGATGCTTCCGGGTGTCTGGGCTGCGGTTTGCTGCTGCTGGATCAGACCAGGCCACTGTGCTGCCCAGGAGATCACAGCAAGCACTGGCTGCATCTGTGCCGCAGAGACTGCCCACGGGCCCGGGATGCCTCAGGCACCCCGCTCTAGAAGTCCTCTGGGGGTGAGCAGGTAGAAGAAAGTGACAGAGAGCAAGTGAACTTCACACTCGAATCACTAAAAGAGAAAAGAGCAGAGACTAAAAATTATGAAGAGTATGCTTTATCTAAAGTTCTATTGGGCCGGGGATATAGCTCAGTCGTGCCAGTGCCTGCCTGGCAAGCACGAGGTCGTGAGTTCAATTCTCACTACCAAAAAAATTAACAAATAAATAAAGTTCTATTAAAATGAATTCCAATGACAGAATTATAAGGAGAAATCATAAAATCCAAATTAGAGCAAAATAGTTTATGAGCACCTATGAGAAAATAAAAACCCAAGAGGAGAAAAAAAGATGACAATATAATACAAACAAAATACAGTGGGCTTAACTAAGTATTCAGTATGCATAAGTACAGTGTATACATTCTTGAAAATAACCCTATATGTAGGATAAGGAAACATCCATTTTTTCAAATATAATAAAATACTACTATAATGGGTTGCAAAGTGTGTCACAGTCTGTTTTAAAGAATTGGCAAAACAGAATCCATGTTCTTAGACTATAATGCATTTAACTTTTGATAATCAACTATAAAAATATAGTCAATTTCCCTCACCTCTAATATGTTTGGAACTATAATGAGCTAAAAATGGAAACACAAGGAGCTGGGGATTTAGCTCAGTGGCACAACGCCTGCCCAGCAAGCGCAAGGTCATGGGTTCAATCCCCAGCACCGGGGAGAAAACAAACAAACAAAAAAATGGAAACACAGTTTAAGAGTTTTTTTTAAAGTTTATGTCTATTGAGAACTAATTTGAAATAAATGTAATGAATATCATAACTTTAGTGATAAATCTAACTTAAGAGAAAAAATGCATAGCTTTGTGAATTTATTTTAAACAATAAAATATTTAAAATAAATGTAAAATCTATATTTAAAAACTTTATTACAAAATGTAAGATAATAAAATAAATTTGTTCAATATAAGATCAACATGCAGGAAAATTGTACTTTTATTTCCCAAAATAACCAATAAGCAAAAATCCAACAGAAAACATTCTATTTACAATAGCAACAAATCTGTCAGGTACTGTGATTATCTATCAAAACATGTATCACACAGCCATGAAGATAACTACAAAAATGCCACTGAAGTTCTTAAAAGAAGACCTAAATAAAACAGAATCAGGTCCTTGAATTAGAAGAATATAATAAAGATGTCAGTTCTCCCCAAATTATCTTATAAATCCAATCCAGTTTAACCCACTGCTTGGTTTGTCAGAAAATTTGCCTGTCTGTGATAAAATTAACATGAAAGAACTAAGGGTCACGATAAGTTAAGAAAATTTTGAAGAAAAGATTGAATGCTTGTTTTCTCAGGTATAAAGATGTGTAACAAACTTCCGCTAATTAAAACCAAACAGCAATGACAGGGATCGAGAATAGACTGAGGCCCCCAAATTGACCTGTGCCAATTCAGAAACTGAAATTGAACAGAGATGACATTACATAGTTACATGAGAAGCAAGAGACCACACAACAAAATTTAAAGGACAACCGCTTGTCCGTGTTGAAATTAAAGTGCCAGAAACCTCTGAGAGGAAATTCTGGAAATAATAAACATTTACAGGTGATAAGGGAAACTCTGAAAGCGGGAGAGGACACATGAGGAAATACCTTTGGGTTGGAGGGTAATGAAGAACTTCCCAAATAAGAAATCTCATCCAGGAAAAGACATCACATAAAACTCCACATCGAATGACTGGAAAATATGACTATGATAAGTAAGGATTTGTGCCTAACAAAAGAAGCCTCAAGGGCAAATAAACAAAAAAGAAAGAGAGGGGGCTAAACTGAGAAAGGGTGTTTATGCTGCTCACACGTAAGATGGGAAAAGCATCTCAACTACATAATGAATTTACACAAATTCATAAAATAAGAAGAAAAGAATCTGATGTGAAAGTGGCAAAAGACTTGAGTGGATATTGTAATGACTGATACGGGAAAATGTGTTCAGCCTTATTAGCAACCTGAAACATACAAATAAAAACAGCAATACTGCCAGGCATGGTGCCGCACGCCTATAATTCCAGCACACAGGAGGGTGAGGCAGGAAGATTGTCACCAGTTTGAGACCAGTCTGGGACACACAGTGAGTTCAAGGCCAGCCTGAACTACATAGCGAGACCCTTTCTCAAATAGAAAAGAAAGAAAAAATAGGGTTAGTACAATCTCATACACATCAGATTGTCAAACATACAAATGTCAGAGGGTACCTAGTTAAGACTGGAGAAACAGAATTCTGTGCTGTGGAGGGGGATGGAGCTGGTACCACCAATATGCACCACAGTCTGGCACTGTCTAGGAAGGGTGAACATCAATACCCTTCAATCCAGAAATTTCACTTCTAGTCCTACATCTGAAGGAAATTTGCCTACTGTGAAAAATAAATTTGAAAAGTGTGTATTTCAGCATTTTCTGTAAGAAAGAAAAGTTGGCAAACTAAATATCCGTCAAATGGGAAATGAATTGTATACGTTTATATTCCTCTAATAAGAACAGTAGACAGCAATGAAAAGGAGTTGTGTACAAGTATACAAGTCAACACGGGTAATTTTCGACAACATCTTGTTGTTGCTCTTGTTGCCGTTGTTATTGCTGCTGTTGCATAAAATGCAAACTGCAAGCTCTGCTACTGATGATGAAAAGGTCAGATCTAACTGCACAGATGCCCCACGGACAACGCTAAGTGGTGGAGTTGTGATTTGAGACGCAGGCTGTGATTAGTGAGCCAAAGCAGAGAGATTCTGGGGTGCATGCACGCATGCAGCAGAAGGGAAGGAGTAAACTGAGGCTCTTGTCAAGGTCAGCTCCAGACAAGGAAAGGCACAGGGGTCCGGTGGAAAACCACTCTTTGTAGCCTGAAAAATCAGAAAACTGAAGGAGGGAAGCTACAAAAAGTGAGGAAGCCAAAGCAACAGAGCAGTGGGAGGACCCCACAGTTCTGCCTGCCAGAGCCTCTTTATGGCTTGCAAATCATGCGCACATCACTCAATCACAGACTTCCAGCTCTCCAACAGAGCGCCGAAGATAGGAAGACATAGTTGCAGGGCAGCTGTTTTCCATGTAGTTGCCACGTTCTCTGAGAGAAGACAATACCCCCACTCCTTAATTAATTCATAATATCCAGCTTCAGCCTCAAATACCAGGCACATTGGATAATCCAGAATAACACATTCAGGGGAGAAAAGAAAAGAATCTGAGAACCAATCCTAAGAGGACCTTGCTGTGAGAACCAAAAGGCCAGGATTTTAAAATGAGTATTATAATAACCAATTAATCAAAGCAAAAATATACACATTCAGAAGGGTAAGATGGGAAATCTCAACAGAGTAACATAAATATTTGAAAAGGGGGAGAAAGGAGAGGGGGTTCTAGGCCTGATAAATGCAAAGCCTGAAGACTGTAGCGATGGAAAAGACAAAAATACTTTATAGGGTCAGCAATGTAGTTCAGCGGCACAGCACCTTCCTGGCAAGTGTGAGGCCCCAAGTTTGACTCATGGTACTAAAAAAAAAATACTTTATAAACTGGAAATAAATGGATAAAAATCATCCAAATCTAAAGAAGCAAAGATGGGCTGGGGATTTAGCTCAGCGGCAAAAGCGCCTGCCTGGCAAGCGCAAGGTCGTGAGTTTGGTTCCCGGTACCGGAGAAAAACCAAAAAAAATAAAAAATAAAAAATAAAGAAGCGAAGATAAGAAAAAATATTAGGTGAGAAGTGGTCCAACCCATGTATAACTGGACAGGTGGAATTTCACAAGGGTAAGAAAGAAAAAACAAAAAAATGGGTCAAAAAATATTTAAAGAGAAAAAGGCTAATACTTTTCTGAATTTTATGACAGAAATTTGCACATACAAGATTCATATGCCCATCAATCAGAATAAGTACAAAGGAAGACCACAGTTCAATTGCTGAGGATAGCAGAGCTACAGCAAGTATTGAACACCTCAAGAGAAAAGCCACACATGACATACCAGAGAATAGCTAATGAGTAAATATCAGAAACTGTACAGTCCAGATGACTATACAAGATTTTAAAATGATGAAGGAAAAAGAAAATAACTTATCTCATTAACATTATATTCCACAAAATTTTCTTTAACACACAAGCTAGAATACAGATATATTCCCATGAAATTACTAAGGGATCATCCAGGAACCGATCTGTACTACAAAAATATTGAAGGAATTCATGTTAAAGGAAATGAGGCTGGGTGAAAACTCAGAGCTTTAGAAAGAGCGAGCATTCGACATGTTATAGATCAATGTAAATGAAATGATTTAGGTATTTTTTTCCTCCTAACATTGAATAGTAAATATAAACAGATTAAAAACATATGCAGCAGTTCTGGTGAGTTTTTGAATGTGTGTAGATATACACATCACACCTAAAATATCAAGTGCAGGTGTGGGAATGGAGACCAACACAGTTTCAAGATTAACATGTTCTGCGTGAAGTAGGATAACACTAATTATGGGCCATGGAAATTTAAATAAATAATTAGCATTTTAGAGCAATCACTGAAAATATAATGCAATTAACCATAGCTGGGAAAAAAGGCCAACAGAAAAATTAAAATAGAATTCTAAAAATATTCAAATTATTTTTTTACAAGCAGGAAACCAGGAATTGAGGATCAAAAAACTAGAGTAGCACACAAATAATAAAATAGGAGCCCCAATTCCAATCATGTAAATAAATGCACAACAGTGTTAATGGACTAAACATTAATTAAAAAATAGATATTAATACAAGGGAGGACACATCTGAAATTCAATAAGTAGGTTGTTATAATAATATCTAACTCTATACTAGTGTAATATGTAGTAGATTATAAATAAAGGGCAAAACACATATGAGGGTCTCAGCAGACATAAAAATGTCTGACAAAATCCAACACACTTTTTTATGATGGAAACAGTCAATAAACTAGAACTTCAAAAGAACTGCAACTTCTTAAAATACGCCTGTAGAAACCTACAGTTAACATCATACTTACTGGAGAAAGACTGGATGTTTCCACATCAAGGTCAGGAACCACACTTAAGTTCTTGCTATGTGTGGTGAAGGTGTAGCCAGGGAAATTTGGCAGGATAAAGAGAGACCACTGTATTGGAAAGGAAGGAGTAAAATCATCTCTAGTCGAAGAGGACATAGTTTGCATGCAGGCACTCAAGAAATTCAATAAAATTTAATAGAAAAATAAAAGTATACAACCATCTGAAGACAATATAGAAATGTTTATAGCAACTTTAAGGTAACAGTTCATCACTAGAAACAACTTAAACATCTATTAACATATAAGTGGATAAGCAAATTTTGTTATTTACATACATATGCATGCACAATAGAACATTACTTAATAATAGAAACCAGTAGAAAGACACAGACTAGCTGGGCATGGTGGGACATGCCTGTAATCCCAACTACCCAGGAGGCCGAGGCAGGAGGATAGAAAATACAAACTCAGCCTGAGCAATTTAACAATGTAGGAAGCCTGTCTCAAAATTTAAAAAATAAAGGGGGAAAGATGTTATGGATGCAGCTCAACGCACAGGGTTTACCAACCGGAGCCACAAAAAAGGGAGAAAAGAAGAAATTTATATCCTTGACAAGATGAATAAATTTCAAAATAGTTATGATAGCTGAGGAAAAGTCAGAAAAAGATCACAGACAGTATATAATTCCACCTAAAACTGAAAACAATTTTAACTGATAATGAAAATAAAATTTTTCGAAATCTGTGAGATGCAAATAGTCATACTTAGAAAAAGTTGCATATTAATGTAAAATATTAACGTAAGACCTGCGGTTATTTATCTGAGTTACCACACTGGAGGGAAAGTGATAAGTAATTATATACAAACTAAGCATAAACAGGAAAATAGTGACAAAACAATTAAAGATGACCTCAATGAATACAGAGATATTCAATGCTACCTCAATACAAATGTTTTCAGGCTTTTTTATTAAAACAAAGAAATCACAAAGCCGTTCTAAAATTTACATGAAAAAACAGAGGATCTAGAATTGCCAAAATCATTTTTAAAAGCAGAGAATGAGTAAAGTATTTATACTCTGTGATTCCAATGCATTATCATAAAAGTACAGTGATAGTGTAGTATTGGTATAAGAATAAGTCTATAAATGCACAAAGTAAAATTCAGAGTCAAAAAATAGAGCCACAAGTGTATTGTTAATTAATTTTTGCCAAAGTCACTACTAAGACTATTCAGTGTGGAAATGATAGGACCTCAGCAATAGGAACTACTAGATTATCAGTATGAAATAATGAACATTGACATTTATCCACACCATGGAAAAATTTAACTTTGTATAGATTTTACACTTAAATATGTAAGTAGAATCTATCAAAAATCTAGGGGAAAAACTAGAAGAAAATCTCTGTGGTATTCAGCTAAGCATTAATTTCTAAAACCAGAGAAAAAGCATAAGACATGAAAGAAATATTGGAAGGAAGGATTTAAAGAATAAGAACCTTAGCTCTTTGAAAGACACAGCTAAGAAAATGAAAAGCCATGCCACAGACTGCAATAAAATATTTGCAAAATTGTGTATCTGACAAGGAATTTATATGGTGATTATAAAACATTTTCTTATCAATAACAAGAAAACAAACAAATCAATACAAAGAATTGACAAAACACTTGAATAGATACTTCACCAAGGACCAGTGAATGCCCAATTAGTACATGAAAACAAGCTGAATATACATCATAACCAATAAAAAGTAAAATTACAGAACAAGTCTACTCATAACATCTAAAAGCATGTAAAGAATGCTGTATAAAAACCTATATGAAGTTATAGCAACATATAAATGTATACAAATACATAGATAGGTGTATATATAAATATAAGATATATAAACATTAATAGAACACTTCAATACTAAGATTCACATAGATTATTTTAGTATGACATTTGTACAGGAGTTATAGCCACCAATAGTCAAAATGGAGACTTGGATGAAGAAAAGAGAAGGACATTCAGCTAGCAGAGTGACATAAAAAAGATTTGAACTGTTTTTCTAATATTTAGATTATAAAGCTTGCCAGAATTTGATAGAGCATAGAACCCCACTCACTGGGTATGTATATTAGTATACAAATCCATAATCCTTTGCCTGAAACCTTTGGGGCAGATGGCTTTACATTTCAGAAGTTTTTTATATTTTAGAATAGTAATCTGATCCATGTACTAGATGTGACTTAACAGCCCCAGCAGGATGTGAAGCAGCAACCTGTAATTAAACACATGAACATTTCTGCTGCAGAAGATATGAATATTCACACAAAGAGGGCTAGGAGAATGACTATAAATAACCCACTTTAGTTCAGGTCAAGGTCTGCTGCCAAGGGAGGCTGCCACAAACTTTCTTGAAAATGTGCTTTGTGGAACTTTTTAGATTTGGGCACTACTGGTAAGGGACCGTGGATACACAGTAGTTTGGGGCAGTTTCAGTATACTAAATAAAGTGATAAAGAATGGATAGACCTCAAGACCGAGCTCTCTGCAGTTTCCTACACAATCGGCTTAGGCATAAAAATAAGCAATCATCAAGATGTCGGGCCGAGCTTTGCAGCCACCTCCCCCGTCATCTCTCCCCGGATAGCTGCAGACAGCCCTCCCCTGATGCACCTGGCTGTGTTTCCTTGACTGGGCTCAGGTTCAAGTTCAAGTGGGCTCCCTGCAGCTCCAGCTCCTGCCTCGTTCCTTAGCGTTAGGGGCTCTGGCGTAGCCGTCTCCTTTTGCTACCCGCACTTCAGAGCTTTTAGTCTTTACATCTGCAAATGTTCAAAGCTAAATTTAAATTTAGCTTGCTCTGCTTCCTTCCAATATGCTCGGCAAAATACTGTCTGGCTGTTTAACTGTGTCTTAGAAGTGGCTTTTATCTGATGCCTGATCTGGCCAATTTGCCTGTAACCTGTGTGTGCTGCTCTGTTGATGGTCTCCCTTTGCCATCCACAGACTCTGGTTGTTGTGGTGATAGAGGGGGAATTGAAATTCCTTTCAGAGTAGGAGTCCCTTTCTGGGTGGGGTCCAGCCTGAGGACACCCTCCGCCATGAAGTCACCATGTGCTACTTCCTGTGTAACATTACCAAACTTCCCCCAGGCAGTAAGGGTGGTTCAGGAGGCCATTTACTCACTTCCTGTTCATACCTAGTGAGTCAGTCCCTTCCAGATTTGGGAACTTTGTAGGCCTGTAAAGTTTTATGCATACAGTTGACAGTTTTTGCCTTTAGCTAAGTTAAGTATTAACAAAAATATGCAACTTCCTATCACTATCATTCCCAAAGAGGAATCCAATGAACTCTACACTGTATTCTACGCTGGCCTCATATTTCTTCTTTTATTACAGACTCATGAAAACTTCTTTCACAAAGGTTACTGGGACACAGACTGTGTTTGTGGACCATTGGACAAAGGGCCCAGTCGTGGCAATCCAGAGGCTCATAGATTTACTCTGAAACTGCCACTAGATTTTCCTCTGCTAGTTAGCAATTTGTTGACAAGTTAGAAAGTATATAGCTAAAGACAAACATTTATAGAACATTCAACACCTTTTCCTTTGAGGTGAAAAGAAGAAATAGCATTCACACCAATGATCCAAGTTCTTAAATAGCTCTGATTTCATCTCTGTAAGCCTTCTTTTAGTCACTTGAAATCACCTTGCAGTAACAGGAAGTCATCAAAGATGCAAGAGAGAGCTATTATGTACACTGCTGCTTCTTGCAAGTTCTTCATACACACTCATCCACACACAAGCACAGAGGCACACACATACAAACATATACATGCAAAGGAAGATTCCTAAATTGCCAAGTTTGCAGAAATGAGTACATATATTTTGAGAAGTTATGCAGCCATTGAACATCATACTTTCTAGGCTTATTTACTCATGTGGGAAAGGAAATTCTGAGTGACACAGAGTGAAAAAGACAGGAGAGAAAGAGAGAGAGGGAGGTGCTATGACTTGAACCTGAAAGGTCCAAAGGCTTAGATCACAGTTTGGGCTATCGGGAGGTTGTGGGACCTTTAGGGGGTGAGGCTTAGTGGGAGGTTTCAGGTCACTGGGCTGTGGCCTGACAGGGAGACACTCATCTCGTCTTTCCCTCTCAAGTCCCAGCTGTGAGATTAGCAGCCTGTCACGATGTGCTGCCTTGCCAAAGAGCCAAACCAACAGAGCTAATCATCAACCATGACATAAAATCTCTAAAACTATGACCCAAAACTAACTATCCCACTTTTTAGTTGATTTTTATTGGATTTTGTTTCAGTAACAGAAAGCTAACACAATCTATATTTTAAATATACATATAAAATGATGACTATGAGGTCTTCACATATACACACATATACACACACAGTTGACAGTGCCTCACTCTAACTGCAGTTCTCATCTGTGTGAATTTTGTGACCTCCAAAATTTCAGAAATTCAACTGTTGAAGAGGTGAAATGATATACTCATCTTCATTTTTTGCAAATAATGTGATCAGAAGGTACCTTACCTTCTCCTAGAATTGAGGTTCACTATCCCTAAATTTCCTCTATCTGCTATGCCTGGTTCACCTATTGTTACAGTGTCACTATTTTATAAATAACATTACAGTCACTGACATAAGAACCAAGCTGCTAAAGCTTGATTGATATGAAGCCACCAGTTAAAAATTTGTAAGGCTTCACATAACTATTCATATAAGATTTCTCTGAACATGAGTTCGTGGGCACATAGATAAAAATTAACAAGAAGTAACATATAAAGTATTTTATTCAAGCTTTGAAGCATAAAATAATATTTAATTGTACGTGTTTCTCCATCCATTACAATGGGTTCCTTAAGTAAGCCTACTGATTTGGTACTTTCTGAGTCAATTCAAGAAGCGATATGGTGAAGTAGTTAAGTTCATCACTTGAGGTCAGCCTGCTTGGATCTGAATCTTGGTTCCATGTTTCCTGGCCATGTTAGCTGGGTAAAATTGCTGAAAGCCCTTGTGTCTTAGTTTTTCACTTGTAAAATAAAGGTAATAAGAAAAGCTCTAGGGTAGAGCTTTTGTGAGGACCTTCATTCATCCAGAACCAAGATGCCCTGGGAACTATACCTGTTGTCTTGGTTACTTTTTTCTCACTGCTGGGACAAAATATCTGACGCCCAAAATTAAGGAAGGAAAGGTTTATTTCACTTACAGTTCGTGGAGGTTTCAGTCCGTACTTGGCAGATTATAAAGCAGAGTGGCACATGGCACAGAGCTACAGCTCAGGGCGGCAGACAACAGCAAAAGCAACAAGCACACTCCAGCGATTAATGGAGGAGGAATGGCCTCAAGCACTCTTTTCCTCTCCCTTATGTATGCAAACTATCCACCCCAGGGTGGGTGCAGCTCTCACACCCATAATCAAACTCTAAAAGCCTGCCCCATGGCCACATGAGGCTTTGGGGGGACACACAGACATAAATCATAACACCTGTCATTAGAAGTAGAACAATGAATGTGACTGATCAAGTCCCTGCCTTCATGGAAAATTCCTCTTGGAGAGAAAGACAGAAACTGAGAAGCAATAGGCACAGTGTTGTGAAGTGCTGTAAAAAATCATAAAGAAAAGCAAAAGAGGACCAGGGAATAAAGAAAGAGGGACAATGTGCATATTTTAGACAAGGTAGTTCATGCAAGACTTGTCAAATGCGAACTGAGAGGGGAATGTTCTAGAAAGCCACCTCTTGGGGAGGGGGGGATTTCACACAGGGAATGATTTCATGTAGGGTCCCTGGGAAGAATTCACCGAGAGAAAGAACATAAAGCATTCAGCACATGGTGTGAACATATTGATTGTTCAATAATTATGATAAGGTAATACAATAATTAGAAATACATTTTGTTTATTTGCATGAGAAATATCACTTTCATGGCCCATCACCTGCTTGTCTCTAAAGTCTTTTCTGGGTCCCTTTCCACCCTGTCTGTCCTTCCTTCCTCTCTTCCCCATGTCAACCCCTTTTACCTTCTGTCCTCTGTCTCATCCTTCTCTTTACTGGCCTCAGGTGCTTAGGACTGGGTTAAATGTAACCTTTGGCTCTATATATAATGCAACCATAAAACCCCTTTTTGAAATGAAACCTAGGCCCTGAACAATGGCCACATCTAACTAAGTGTCCCCACACCCTCCAGATCCCTGCTTCCTCCAAGGGAATCATCCTCCTTAGCCATCAAGTTTTCATTCACTTGCTTCCTTTTTAAACAGAATTATAATATTTACTCCTAAGGAGAGCATTCGATCTTACTGATTTTAAACTTTATAAAAGGAGTGTCATGCTACTGCATATGCTTACTTACTGGTACTTTTTAAGTGTAATATTATATTGACAACATTCAGCCTTTCATTATGACTCATGATTGTTAACTGAGTTTGAGTGATGTCTAATCCTCCATTTTGTGAATGTATTCTATATATTCCTGCACCCTGTCCCTGACAGAGAGTGTTTGGGTTCCTAGATTTTTGCCATTGTGATTGGTGCAATTATAACATGCCTATATATCTTTGCCAGGGGCTGGGGACTTAGCTCAGTGGCACAGCGCCAGCCTGGCAAGCACAAGATCGTGAGTTCAATTCTCAGTACCGGACAAAAAAAAAAAAAGAAAAAAAAAGTGAAATATCTTTGCCATTATATATATGCAATAATTTCTTTTAAAGCTACTTTTTTTTTTTTTTTTTGGTACTGAGAATTGAACTTAGGACCTTGTGCTTGCCAGACAGGCACTTGTGCAGCTGAGCTATATCCACAGCCCTTAAACACACTCTTAGAAAAGGAATTACCAAAGCCATAGGTTTACCAAAAACTCAGATTTAGGAAATAATGACAAAATGGTTTGCAAAATATTTGCACAATTTTCTCTCTTATTAGTGATATACAAAGGATCCTGTGTATTTCACTATATCTATTCCTTTAAATTTTCAGTCTTAAGCTAATGTCAATTGACAGTATATAGAATATGGCTTAATGGTTTTGGCTTAACTTCCCTTACTACCAAATATGTTGAGTATATTTTTATGTTCATTGACCTTATTATTTATTTATGTTTGGACCATTTTTCCAAATGTTTGGTTTTTTTAACCTGTTCTTTGCTAGCTATTCTTTGGAAATATCTGCTCTTAGTTTATAACTCATCTTTACATATCCTTTAAAATGAGTTTTAATTCACTTTAAAAACTAAATTTTTGTATTGTTTCAGACTTTTGTGTCCATTTAAAAAATGGACAATACAAATCAAATTTGTATTGACAAATTTTGTCAATATAAATCATATTTCTATCTATTTCCACAGAGGATTTCAGTGTTTTGTGTTACACAACAGATCTTAATCCATCTAGAATTAATTTTGTTAAAGGTGTGAGGCAGGGGTTCAATTATCTATTTCTATATATGGATGACCATTTTCCCAACTGAGTTTTAACCACCTCCAAGTCCAATTATTCAAATACAAGATGGCCAAAATTTGCATATTTTCATCAATTTCTATGGTAATAGAAAATACAAAAAAGACAATTTTATCAAATTTGTTTTGTACAAGAATTGACTAGTTGAAATGACATATGCTGGAGTGACACTAGCAATAGTATGGAAACAAAAGTGCTGAGGAAAAGAGATGCTCAAGGTAAACTGTTAAGGTGTTAAATCCGTTTTCTCCTGCACAACCTCACACTCTGCTCAGGTATACACCAAAATTCCCTCTACATGCGGATGGGTCTCTGGCTTATAGCACTGCTCACTGGGTCTCTCTCTGCTCTATTTCCACAATCCTGTGATGTCTGTGGTTTCCTAAAAGATGCTATTATCTGATATTAACCCTTCCTACTTGTCTCACTCACCCTGGATGAATTTTCACGTTCAGTCTTTTCAGTATATGTTTTAGAAATTACTTTTAAATTCTATTACTGGAACTACACTAAATGGAGAGATCAATGTGGAATGAGCTACTATCTGTATAATACTTAGACTTTCTACTTATAAACATGCTATATTTCTTTCTTTCATTAGATGTGCTTTACTATCGCTTATTCAATTTCTCCAGGGTATTGCTTATAGTGTTCTCTCTTGGCCCCTGTAGTTCCTCCACACATTTCTTGGGGAAAGAATTCAGCAGTTATTTTTTACAGAATCTTGACCACAATCTAAACCATTAGTCTTCTGTCCTTTTTTGCCTTTTTGCTTTTAATAAAGACGCTTGCCAGTGTCCACCTTGACAATTGTCACCATTCACACGGGAGTTTATGTTGCTCCCTCTGTTTTTAAGCCTCTGTTCTCATCTTGACTAATACTTGTTCATTGGCTGTCCTTTAGCTCCTGCATCACCTCTTCCATGGAAGTTTTTCTGATCTTCCATCCTAGGGAAGTTTCCCACAAATTCTTGTGCTTACATCTCACATAAAGTCTTTCAAAATTTCAGCTGAACTGATCTGACCATATGTTTGACCCATCAGGCTATGAGCATCAAAAAAGATTTTGTTATTCATAATGCACACTCTAATATAGAGTCTTTTCCATGTAAAATGTTCCTTCAGTGTTTGCTGAGTTAAGCTACAAAGCTATCTTAATAATCTGGAGGTTGCAGACAGGGTCAGGGCCAAATCAACATCATTATGTAAAAAAAACTTCAAAAGGAATAGGGGTCTGAATTCAAGTCCTTCTTTTCCCCTGAGGCAACAAGAGAGTTTGGATGGACATTTCTCCCTGAGGATGTCTTTTCATGCAAATCAAGGGCACAATTCTAGCTCCTTGCCTACTGGGAAGTTTTTCTAAATTTAAGAAGAGGAAAATAATTAGCAAAGGACTATTCTGAAAATATAAAAATGGTTTCTATATAGGGCTTTGCCCCCTGTAATTCTACTACCTCCTTCAGCCTTTTCAAAGAAGTATCTAGATGTACTTTATAGCATTTATATTTTTCCTAGGACACAAAATGGTATCTGTATACACAGCACAGTGAGTCTCAGAAAAAGAAAAAAATCCTAAGGAGATATAAGTACTGCTATTGCTTGTGTCTAGATGCCCCCTAAAGCCTCGTGTGCTCATAGGTGGGGCATTCCTAGAGCATGTGATACTGGAATTAAGGGTGTACGGTACTAAATCAGTATACTGAACAGAATTATCATAGTTCTGGGTGGCACACCCAAAAGGCTGGTAACCTGGATGAGATAAAAAGGAAAGGCTGCTACTTCTGCTGCTACATTCTGCCTGCCCTGCCTTGGACTGTTTCTCCAGTGCAGTGCCTTTCTGGCATGCCACCCTGCCTTGGAGGCAGCTCACCATGGACTGAACCCTCTACAAACTGACACCGCTACGCTTGCGGGTGTTGTGTATTTGTCTCAGCAATGAGTAAATTAACTAAGACAGGTACATAGGTAAGTATAATAGATAGGTATGTAGGTAGGCAGACAGGCAAACGGAACTGGATTGGCAGGTAGTCTGTGCTAAGGGATCATTAAAATAAGATACAAAGATTTCTATTTCATCTCAAGAATGTGAAAACTATAAAGTAAATGAAAGATTCATTGTAGTCTATTATTTAATAACATTTATAAGGACCTTTTTACATTGCTTCAATGAAACAACTGTTAAAACTATATATTAAAGATTCAATTCTTTTTTATTATGCATTTAATTCCATTTGGGGGATACATGTCACTAAGCACCACTTCACATTTAAGAAATCCTGAGTTACTTCAGCACTGAAGGCAATGGTGACTGTAACCCAATGACTGCATTTTCCAAAGAGGGAGCAGGTCCTTCCCTGAGGCAATGGATTAAAATCATATCTCTGAAAAGTCCAGAGGGACTGGAAGGCAATGGCTGTGTCCAGCGTCATTCCAAGAAAAGCACGAGGGAGAAACAGGTGTCTACTCTTTCAATAATCATAAGAGATTTCTTTTTTTTTTTTGGTTTTTCTCCAGTACCAGGAACCGAACTCAGGACCCTGCACTTGCCAGGCAGGCGCTTTTGCTGCTGAGCTAAATCCCCAGCCCCCATAAGAGATTTCAAATAAGCGTAGAAACAAACATAGTCATCACACCAGCCATAACAAACGAACCCATACCCAAGTGGACCACCTTCTCATTTCTTTAACAAACACGTCAGAGGTGATGTTGAGTTCCCTTTTATGTTTCCCCCCTCTCCTCTTTTTCCCCAGGAATAATTAGCATTAAGAAGTTGTGTGCCTAGCCAGACATGGTGGTACAGGCCTGTAATCCCAGCACTTAGGAGGCTGAGGCAGGAGAATCACTGTGAGTTTGAGGCCAGCGTGGACTACAAAGTGAGTTCAAGCTCAGCCTTAATTGCATAGCCAAACCCTGTCTCAAAAAGACTAAAAAAAAAATTAAAAGAAAAAAGTTCTGTGTCCTTCCCACCCAGGTTTTTAGCACTCACACCACTTATCCTGTATTCATCAGTAGCAGCAATAGTCTTTGCTGTTTTTAAAGTGTCCACGAAGGTACCGCACCACACACACCATGTCTTTCCGCACAGATCCGGCTCACTTGTTCTAACAGCCGTGCCTCTGAAATCGTCAGGGGTCTTGGATGCCAACAACAGAAACTGACTCTCATTAAATTAAGCAGGAAAGGATTTAATTAGAAAGATGCTGTGGGATTGACAGGAAACAGGCAGAAAATCTGAAGAAACAGGCTGAGGGGAAAGGTAGTTGGGAAGAAGCCAGGCAGCTCGAGTCTTTGGCTCCATCTTTGCACAGGAAGTGTAGACGGGTGATCCCGGGGCCCTTCTGGGCTGCACCTGTCACCAGCACCGTCACGGGAAGAAACACTATTGAGCTCTGCCTCTCACCCCTGTCACCAGCCCCTCCACACTCACCGATGCTGCTACTGCCATCTTTGTTCCGGTCTCCTATTGATTCGCTTCCTCCTCTGGCATTGTTCTGCCCCAGAGCAGAGTCCTGAGTCAGATGAAGTTTTCGCCTGTGCTCTGCGGAGTACGACAGCTAATAAGAGAACTAGATTCCCACCTGGATCCATAGCTACAGAAGTGGGGAAACTTGCTCAGGGTTCAAAATCCCTGGCAGAGGGTTGAAGAAACATGTGATTGCCTAGGATCAAACCTGTCCTGTAGCCACCACGAAGCCTGAAGAAGGAACTCATGCATATCTATTACATATCCACACATCTACTTCCCCTCTGCAGCTGGGAATGACACAGTACATCCTGCCAAGAGGGGACTCTGAGTCAACTGTCATCTCTTGCATTTGTATTACTCCAATGGAATTCACGTGGTGGCTGAAGCATTCGGCTTTGCATTTTTCTGCACCCTAGTGAAATGTGTTCACCATCCCTTCCAAAGACATGCCGCTCATAATCTTTTTTGCAATTTTTATTTTTTATTGATCCGTGTTTGTATTACATGGTGATTACATTCCTTGTGGGGAGCTGGTGCCTGTACATGACACATCTTAGTTTATTTTCATCCCCTGTCCCTTCTCCCTCCATCACTGATTCCCTTCCCATTGGAACAAAATCTATCTCCCTATTTGCTATTATCCTTTATTTCCCTCTTTTCTTATATTTATATTTTAGGTTTCTCATATATGAAAATATGTATATATCACTGTAATATGTCATCTTTAACTCTGTGGGGAAGATACCTAGAAGGGGAATAGCTGGGTCAAATGGAATTTCTAGTTTTAATTTTTTGAGGAATCTCCATACCAGTTTCCATAGTGCTGTACTAGTTTACACTCCCAGAAATGTAGAAGGGTCCTTTTCTGCCATAGCCTCACCAGTATTTGTTATTGTTTAATTTCTTGATGATGGACATTCTTTCTGGGGTGAGATAGAATCTCAGTGGTATTTTATTCACATCTCTCATGATTTCTTCCTGCTTTTGTTCTTCTCCATTTGTATCTTTCTTGTTACATTATAGGGTAAAAACACACATTTTGATCCCAATGCACTGCAATGTACCCAATGTAGGTAAATGTGCTGCAATTACATTATCTCTTTTGACTATGTCAGCTTTTAAATTAGCTTTATTAAGATATAATTTGCATATAACAAAACTCATCACTTTTACATGTGTAATTTGATAAATTTTGACAAATGTACATAAACAGAAAGTGGCATAGTATGTACCCTTCACTTAAGAACATTCCCCATTTCTCTCCTGTAGTTAATTCTCTAACTAATCCTCAACCCTTGGCAACCACTTATCTTCTTGTACTTATATTTTTTTGAAAAATTTCATATAGTGGTATCATACAGCACATAGTAACTGAATATCTTTATTCACCCTAACACTTTGAGAGTCATCTCATTGATGTTTTTGCTCATATTAGGGCATGTTCTTTTTCACTGCTGAGTAGTATTTCATTATATGACTATACCACAATTATTTAATCCACTCAGCAGTTAATGGATATTTGTGCTGCATTCACTTTTTCCCCCAGTCATAAGTAAAGCTCCAAGACTATTAAAGTACAGGTGGAGGGAGATAAAATCCCCATCTTTATCATTTTAGCACAAAAGGATGCTAAGTTGTGAAGAAGCAATTAAATTTTGTAAGGGGGCTCAAAAGACAAGCTATGTTAATAAAGTCTATGTAGGATTACCTAGGTCTCAGCTTCTCCTTGAAGATAAAGGAGTTGCATTCTTCCTGTGGGACCATCATCTTCCATTTAAAAAAAATTGTATGAGGAATCTTTGGGTGATAGACATCTAGAATCCCAAAAATGATGCTGGCCGGAACACACTTCTTAGTTCTCTAGACCCCAAAATAAACTTCCTGCTCCCTTCTTGCACGTGCGCCAACAACCCTCCAATCCTCTCCTGAACTGACACATCGCCTGCCCATACTAATTGTACTGCTAGTCTAGCCTCATAAAAACTCATTCCCCAGCTCCCTCCTGTGAGGGTCCTTGCAATCTCCTTCAACCCTCCCGTGCCAGCAAGAAAAGCTTGTTTATACCTGTGTCTGTCTCATGCCCTACCTGGTGCCAAACCTAACACTGTGTACTTGTTATTTTTCAATAGAGTGAAATAGTATGTTAGAGATTTTGTTTTCACTCCTTCAGGCTGTTTACGTGCACAACGGGTACCCACGATTTAGGACTGGTGATAACATAGTAAAAGTCGTATTAGCAAGGGCTTTCAGAGCAGCAGGGTCAATAGCATGTACTTGTATAATTGTGCAAGGAAATTCATCAGTTAGCCTTGCAGGGTCAGAAGAGCGAGAGTCTGCAAAGGCTGCCCAAGCAGAAGAATCCACAACCACCATCTGCATGCTGGAGAGCTGCAGGGTCCGGTAGCTGCTCAGCCCGAGATAGTGGAAGCCACAGAACAAGAGGAATCAAGGATGTGGCGCCCAGGCAAGGTCAGGAAAATACTCCTGAGTGGGAACTCAGTCTGGAGATGCCAGTGCAGGTCTGCATCGGAAACGAGAGCCTGGAGCCAATGGAGAAGACCGGAGCTGTTGAGCAGCAGCCACACTCGCTTCCTCTGTTGCTTTTTCAGTCCACTCAGGCTATAAGCCTATTGGTTGGTGTCACCCACATCCGGGGTGGGTCTCCCTCCCTCAGTTTGCTGGCGTACATGTCAATCATCCCTAGACCCACCTGGAACAGTGCTTTACTGACCTGCCTCGCAGTTCTTACTCCATTCAAGTTGACATATTATGATTAATGGTCACATTAGATAAGTTCATGAGAAAGGGTTTCAAACGACTGCACCATTTTATACTCCTAGCAGCCATGCATGCGTGTCCTGGTTTCTCCATATCTTTACTGCTTTAATTCTTGATGTTTTGACTCATTTTAAAGGTAGCCATTCTAGTAGGTGGGCACTGATATTTAGTTACTGTGCATGTTTACATTTTCTTAAAGACATATGATTTTCCTGTGTCTTCTCTGGTGAAACGTCTGCTCAGATTTAGAGACAAAATTAAAAATCAGGTTATGCACTTTCCCGTGCTTGAGGGACTTCTTTATATACTCTGAATACCAGCTCTTTGTTGGATATCTATTTTGCAAATATTTCCTCTCATTCTTTTTATTATGATTAGTTCGTGAAGCGCAAAGTTTTTTATTTTTATGAAGTTCCACTTACACTTTTTTCCTATGTATGTTTGTTTTGCATGTTCTTAAAAACTTTTGCCTGCATCAAGGTCATAACTACCTTTTTCTAGGTTTTTTTGGCTACAAGCTTTATACTTTATTGGTGTGTGATTCACTCCAAACTCATTATTTGTATAGTGTGAGGTAGGGGTTGAGCTTCATTGTTTTTAAACTGGACATTTAACTGTTTAAGTACAATTGTTGAAAAGACTATTATTTCCTTTCGAATTACTTTGGCAGCTTTGTTGCAGCTCAACTGGCCACATATGGGAAGCTCTGTTTTTCCACTTTCTATTATTTCCCATTGATCTTTTAGGTCTGCCTTTACATCAGTAACATAATGGCTTAATTGATGCAGCTTTAATTCAGATACAATAATTCTGAAGTCAAGTACTGTCACTCTCCAAAAGTCTTTTGAAGTATTTTGTATTTCAGTATAAAATTGAGGATCAGCTTGTCAATCTAAAAAATTCTGAGATTTTGACGAATTTTATTCAATCAATAACTGAAGAATATTGGATTGAGCATTACTCTTCCAATCTGTTGCATAGTTTAGCTTTACATTAATTTAGACTTCAGCTTTATTCAGAAACGTTCTATAGGTTTTAGTATAGAGATCTTGCATGTGTTCTGTTAAATTTGGCTCTATGTATTTCATATTTCTGATGTTCTGATAAATGGTATTATTTAAATTTTAATGTTTAGCTGTCCATTGCTAGTATGGGAACTGCATTAGCTTTTTGTGTAATGATTTTGTATGCTGTGGCCTTATTAAACTCCCTTGTAAGTTACAGAATTCATAGAATATTTTATCATAGAATTCTTCACATAGACTGCCATCTTTCTGTAAACAAAAGTAATTTTACTTCTTTCTCTCCCACTTGGGCGCCTTTATAGAAGTCTTGTCTCCTGATTGCACAAACGATGGCCTCCAGTGTGGTATTAAACAGAGGTGGTGAGCATGGACATCTGTGCTCTCTTCCAGCCTCTTGCTAGAGTCTCTTTAGCAGGCTGACAAAATTCCAAACCTTCAGTAGTTGCAAGGGGTTTATACCATTAATGAGGATTGCGTTAAGATAGTGAATTTCTGTATCTAGTGGAATGTTTCCTTTGAAGCTTGCTATTGTTACAAACTGCACTCATTGATTTTAGAATGCTAAACCAAACTTACATTCTTGGGAACAGCTCCTTTGGGGGTGCATTATGACTTTTTGTGTATTAGCCCATTTTTGTTGCTATAATGAAATACCCAAGGAAGTCTACTTAATAAAGTAAAGAGGTTTAATTTGGACCAAGTAGAACTTCAGAGGACTCTGGTGATGGTCTACTTGATGGTAGCGTTCTGAGTGCCACAGGCACCATATAGCAAAAGATGGAGAATGCATATGTGTACATGTGTGCCTGGTTTCTCTTTGTGTTCTTGCAAAGCTACTAGGATTCAATATTGGGGCTGCACTCTCATGATCTATTTGACCTTATCAAATCCTAATCACTTCCACTGGGCTCCACTTCTAAACATTATGTTCAGGTTAAGTTTCCACCTGCTTAATACCCCACAGTAGAGATAACATTTTAACAATGAAGTCTTTAGGGGCTCTCGTCCTACACCCAAACCAGAGTAGTGTGTGTGCTGTTGGACCGAGTTTGCAAAACCTTTTCTGTCCAACAATTATATCCATGTTCTGGAGGCAGCTTGCTCTTTATTATTCCTTAAATGTATCTTTGGTTGCAGTATCACAGTAGTGCACATCTCACAAAATAAACTAGGACACATTCATTCTTCTCATGTATTCTGAAAGAACTCTGTCAGAATTGGCTAAGTGTCATCTACTGGATAGAATCCACGAGTAAAGCATGTGGGATG